AGTGCAAACCTTGCTTTCCAAAATACTCCAGACACAATAGTCCAATGGATTGGTATCCGGAGATTTTGGTGCCCATTGTGCGTTGGAAATGAAGCGAGGCACCTCATTTTGTAACCATTTTTGGATGGCGCGTGCTGAGAGCGATGGTGCTGAGTCCTGTTGGAATGTCCAAGGTCTGCCGCCAAAATGTTTGCGTGCTTTAAAACACCCTCCAGAATATTTTCGCGATAATATTCGCCATTTATTCTGATGCCACGGTCGATTAATACGAGCGGAGAGCGACCATCGGTTGTTATGGCAGTACACACCATCACCATGGCAGGCGCTTGAGTTCTGGTGGCCAACCGAAGGTGCACATTTTCAGCTAACCTCTTCGGCAACGAAGGTTTTCTCATCGGAGAAAACCAAATTCGGCAGTTCACCACTTTCGGCCAAGCGAAGCAACTCTTAAGCTCTTTTGATTCTATTTTCTTTCCGTTGCGGTGTAAGTTCTTGAACTTTTTGGAAGTTCAATAACTTAACCCCGAGCTCATTTTCCAATATTTGCTGAATGGAATATTTCGATATGTTCAGCTCACGAGCCATTTTTCGGCCACGGCCAACAAGTGCAAGAACTTACACCGCAACAGAAAGAAAATAGACAGTAAAGGACTAATGATTTTTGGTATAAGATGTTTGTAATGGATGCTACAGCCTAAGACGGAAAATTGTCTGTGCACGGCCACGTCTTCGTATATCCCCCATATAACGGTACCTCCCAATATTCGGTATTCTGGTGATTTTAGCGTCATTATTCACCTGAATTGCTTCAATTTAGGTATTTTTAGTTCGTAACAGATACTACAGCATATGACAGAAAATTGTCTGTGCAGGTTCACGTCTTCATACAGCCCCCACATAAACTTACCTCCCGATATTCGGTATTTTGATCATTTTAGCGACATTATTTACAGGAATTGTTTAAAATTTGGTATTTGAAGTTCTTAATGGATACTACAGCTTAAGAGAGAAAATTGTCTATGCAGGTCCAGGTCTTCGTATAGGCCCCACATATCAGTAGCTCCCTATATTCGGTATTTAGACGATTTTAGGTACAATTCCCACCGAAATTGTGTGAGATGTCGTATTTGAAGTTCGTAATGTATGCTACAGTCTGTGACAGAAAATTGTCTATGCTTAACAGAACAATGCCTATGTAGGTCCACGTCGTATACATCCCAATATAACGACTATATTCAGTGTTTCAAAAAAATTTAAACAAACATTTTTAAGGGTCTTATTTTTTGAACATTTCCAATTTGGAGGGTATTCAAAGTTCGACCCGGCCGAACTTACTGCTTTTTAACTTGTATGGTTTCTCTTAAATCTACAAAATTTTATGAACCAGTGCCAAACATTGAGAAAAACTCAAAATCTTATTAATGTATTTAGATTCGGAAAACAAATTATTCCTGTTTGCGATTTTTGCTCTTTTTGAGAAACATGCAAAAAAAAATTGGAAATATTTCGTGCAAAAGGGGTGGAAAACTAAAGTTATCACTATTCAAAACAGATTTTAATAAAATATTGTACTATGTTTCGTGAGGGGCCAGCGAATCTCTACCGGAAATTGCCGAAAAAAATGTTAAAAATATTCGTATTTTTGAAACGAATTGGCAGCAGTTTACTTCTTTTGACTTCATGGAAAATCTCGATTCGAAAAATGATTTCCTTAGAGAAAAAATCTATTTAAGAACTCATACATTGCTTCCAGATTGACATTTTTAATAATAATAATAATAATAATTTTTAATACAAAAATGACTTAAATATAATTTCGGCCAAAGAATTTACATTTGAAACCATTGAGCAGTGTTGAATTCTGATTTAAACAAATCGCAAATTAATTATAATCAATAAACTAACCACATACATAAATAAATTTATATCTCAACTAACCAAGTTCAATTGCAAATAAAAGTCATAATCAATTAATAGCCAATATTAAATGAAATTCGATCTATTGTTTACAGCTAAATAATGTGTTAGGTTCTTTTCATATTTAGCAGAGAGGTAAATTGGATTTTCCCAAGATATTTCGACGAATCAATAACAAGATTATTATTAGCAAGAAATTCTCTGACAATTGTGAGATTTGGAAATTGTAACAGGCACCTGAGGGAAATTCTAATGACTGATAAGAAATTCAATGAAGTTCATGAGGGGTTTAAATCGATGTGTCAAATGTGGACAACTTACTAAGAGCAATTCTCTTGGAATAGACGTCATTTTATTAATTTTTCTTAAAATAATTAAAATAGTATCAGTCGACAGATATATACCCCCAGCTTGAGTTATGATTATTCACACTGTTGACCCTTTATGGGGGGGGGGGTGTTCCAAAGCAGTTGGCCAATATTGAGCAATTCGTATCTGACCTAAGACTGATATAAATAAAACGTGGCAGATTTGGACTATATCGACTACTTCCTATACTTTATATGAGATATGCGTAAATTTTTGGAAAATCTGGAAATATGCGTGCAGTAACAGATATGGTGGAACGAGGTATTCCATTTTCATACTTCATTTAATACAGATAAAAATGTTGGTTTATGCAAAATTCGAAGGCAATCGAACCTTTAGGGTGAGATAAAAAAACTGCAACAAAGTCAAGCATCATATTTTTTTAATTTTATGGAATGAAAGCAAAAAAAGTCGGAAATAACATCAAATTTAAGAATAAGTTTAGATTTGTTCGAATTGGGCGCCTTTGGCACGAATTATGGCCTTCAAACGGCCAATGAAACCGTCACACGCTGCCCGAATGTTGCTCTGCGGTATTTTGGCCCATTCCCGGCGAAGCGCCGGGATCGAAAAATTGATCGAAAATTTGGTACTTTTTAGTGCCAACCTTCCTTTCCAAAATACTCCAGACACAATAGTCCAACGGATTGGTATCCGGAGATTTTGGTGCTTATTGTGCCCTGGAAATGAAGCGAGAAACCTCATTTTGTAACCATTCTTGGGTGGCGTGTGTTAAGTGCGATGGTGCAGTATCCCTTTGAAATGTAAAAGGTCTGCGGCCAAAATGTTTGCATGCCCAAGGCTTTAATACACCCTCCAGAATATTTTCGCGATAATATTCGGCATTTATTCTGATGCCACGGTCCATTAATAGGAGCGGAGAGCGACTATCGACTGTTATGGCGACCCACACTATCACCATGGCCGGCGCTTGAGTTCTGGTGGCCAACCGAAGTGCACATTTTCAGCTGACCTCTTTGGCAAGTAAACACGATCATTTTGTTAGTTTACAAACTGCTGGACAACAAATGTTTTCTCATTGGAGAAAACCAAATTCGGCAGTTCATCACTTTCGGCCAAGCGAAGCAACTTTTTAGGTCTTTTGAGTCTATTTTCTTTCTGTTGCGGTGTAAGTTCTTGCACTTTTTGGAATTTCAATGGCTTTACCCTGAGCTCATTTTTCAATGTTTGCCGAATGGAATATTGCGATATGTTTTGTTCATGAGCCATTTTTCGGCCACTACGACGCGGGTTTCGATCAAATCGTTTCTTTACTTTTCGAACCATTTCTGCTGATGTTGCTGTTTTTTCTTCCGTCCCCTTTTTTGACGTCGGCCTACAGTACCAGTATCACGGTAACGAGCGATGGTACGAGACACAAAATGCTGGAGTGCTCTAACGATAGTCACTTGTGGTTATCATCGCTTGAATTCCATCTCGTGAAAAATTCCAATCGTGAAACCTATGTGGGGTAGGTACCGCAAGAAATGCTCCGATTTCTACCATCTTTATAACAGATCTTGTGCTTATTGTAATATTGAGATGTGGCAAGTCTGAGTGGAATCGGATGTTAGTTTCGTGTTTTATGAGCTTCATGGATACTCACAGTTTTGACCCCTTGGGGGGGGAGGTACCAGAAGGAGTGCACAGATATATTCCACCTTCACATCAGACCTTGGGTTAATAAAAATATTGTGATGTGTGAAATTTGAAGAAAACCAGATTCTTATTTCGGATTTTGTAATCGTTTTTGTTATTCAAAACTTTGACCCTTTGTGGGGAGGTGCCAGAAGGAATGGTCCGATCTCTACCATCTTTATAACAGATCTGGTGCTGATGGAAATATTGAGATGTGTCAAGTCTGAATGGAATCGGATGTTAATTTCCTGTTTTATGAGCTTTAAGATTTAATTTTTTTTAAATGTTGACCCTTTATGGGAGAGGTACTGGATTGAGTGGATTGATATATTCCATCTTCACACCAGACCTTGGGTTAATGAAAATATTGTAATGTGTGCAATTTGAAGACAATCGGACCCTAACATCAAATTTTATAAAAGTTATAATTATTCAAAATTGTGACCCTTTGTGGGGGAGGTACTTGATGGAGTGGACCGATATTGTCCATTTTCGAAGCTGACCTAGCACTGATTCAAATATTAAGATTTGCAAGGTTGGAGCAAAATCGGAAAATCCTTTCTCCTGCTGTGCAGTAAATTATGTTCTTTTAAAATGTTGACATTTTGTGTGGGAGGTACCAGAAGGAGTGGACCCATTTTACCCATCTTCGAACTCGATCTAAGTTTGACAATAATATTACGATGTACCAAGTTTGGACCAAATCGAATACTCCCTTCGAGAGTTATCATGCGCACCAGCCAGACGGACAGATAGATGAACGGACGGACATCGCTAGATCGACTCCAAATGTCCTGAAACGGATTTGATCCAAAGAGACCTAGGGTCTAAAACCCTTATTTCGATGAGGCACGTTTTGGCCGTATCAAATGAAATATACCCTCTCTAGCCAATGGCTAAGGGGAATAATTAAATTCCCAACGTTTCGTAGATAATCTTTCCACTTCTTTAAAATGAACTGATATTTTACCCTGAGCGTATTATTGATGACTAAAATCCCTCGCCTTTTTCTCGTTTAAGATTAACACAGCACAATCAGAGGCAAACCTGAATAAATAGAACGAACAAAATACAAAAGCTATGCACAACGCTTCAACGCCAAGTCAAGTTAAGTAGTTCTAAAGGGGATTCCTCTCGGGAAAAAAAAAAACGAAATATGCTTTTTTGTACGGGCATTGCATTACTGCTGCAGCTGTTGGCAATATGCAGTGGCGAAGATAGTCACACTGTCGAAACAACATTGGGCGCCATTAAGGGTGTACGCATGCAAACTCGTTTGGGTTCTCCGTTTTGGGCCTTTCGTGGAATACGTTATGCCGAAGCACCAGTGGGAGAGTTGCGTTTTCAAAATCCACAACCTGTGAAACCATGGAAACCCAATGTATTCGATGCCACCAAAGATGGGCCCATGTGTCCACAGGTTACCGTAAATCGAACATGGCTGTCGGAAGATTGTCTACGCCTAAATGTCTATACCAAGGATACAAATAAGTCGAACGGCCTTAAACCAGTTATTTTTTATCTACATCCCGGAGGATTTTATGTCGTTTCAGCCATTAGTGCCTATGCAGGACCACAGAATTTCATGGATCGTGATATAGTCTTGGTAACAGTGAATTATCGCCTGGCTTCATTGGGTTTCATGGCCACAGGTACGGCTGATGCCCCTGGTAATATGGGTCTTAAAGATCAGGTGGTGGCCTTGCGTTGGGTACAACAACATATTGAGAATTTTGGTGGTGACCCGAAATCTGTAACAGTTTGGGGTTATAGTGCCGGCAGTTTAAGTATTGGTCTACATTTAATGTCACCCATGGCTAAGGGTCTGTTTCATCGTGCCATCATGCAAAGTGCCTCGCCGTTGGGACAATTTCGTTACCGAAATCATCAATTGGAATTGGCCGAGAAACAAGCCAGACTGCTGAAGTGTCCTGTGCATCCCATTAAGGATATGGTGAAGTGTTTGAAAACGGTAAGTAAAAAATAAGTCCGCCCAAAAATTTCAGATATAATGAAACCTGGATAAAGTTCTGATCGGTTCTCTACTAAAAACTCTCTTCAGCTGGCCTATAGAGACCGAGCTTCAAGCTGGTCTATAGAGACCGAGCTTCAAGCTGGTCTATAGAGATCGAGCTTCAAGCTGGTCTATAGAGACCGAGCTTCAGGGTAGTCTATAGAAACCGAGCTTCAAGCTGGTCTATAGAGACCGAGCTTCAAGCTGGTCTATAGAGACCGAGCTTCAAGCTGGTCTATGGAGACCGAGCTTCAAGCTGGTCTATGGAGACCGAGCTTCAGCTGGTCTATGGAGACCGAGCTTCAGCTGGTCTGTGGAGACCGAGCTTCAGCTGGTCTATAGAGGCCGAGCTTCAGCTGGTCTATGGAGACCGAGCTTCAGCTGGTCTATAGAGGCCGAGCTTCAGCTGGTCTATGGAAACCGAGCTTCAGCTGGCCTACAGAGACCGAGCTTCAGCTGGCCTACAGAGACCGAGCTTCAGCTGGTCTATAGAGACCGAGCTTCAGGCTGGTCTATAGGGACCGACCTTCAGGCTGATCTATAGAGACAGAGCTTCAGGCTGGTCTATAGAGACCGAGCTTCAGGCTGGTCTATAGAGACCGAGCTTCAAGGCGGTCTATGGAGACCGAGCTTCAAGATGGTCTATGGAGACCGAGCTTCAGGTGGTCTATAGAGACCGAGCTTCAGGCTGGTCTATAGAGACCGAGCTTCAGGCTGGTCTATAGAGACCGAGCTTCAGGCTGGTCTATAGAGACCGAGCTTCAGGCTGGTCTATAGAGACCGAGCTTCAGGCTGGTCTATAGAGACCGAGCTTCAGGCTGGTCTATAGAGACCGAGCTTCAGGCTGGTCTATAGAGACCGAGCTTCAGGCTGGTCTATAGAGACCGAGCTTCAGGCTGGTCTATAGAGACCGAGCTTCAGGCTGGTCTATAGAGACCGAGCTTCAGGCTGGTCTATAGAGACCGAGCTTCGGGCTGGTCTATGGAGACCGGGCTTCAGCTGGTCTATGGAGACCGGGCTTCGGCTGGTCTATGGAGACCGAGCTTCAGCTGGTCTATGGAGACCGAGCTTCAGCTGGTCTATGGAGACCGAGCTTCAGCTGGTCTATGGAGACCGAGCTTCAGCTGGTCTATGGAGACCGAGCTTCAGCTGGTCTATGGAGACCGAGCTTCACGCTGGTCTATGGAGACCGAGCTTCACGCTGGTCTATGGAGACCGAGCTTCACGCTGGTCTATGGAGACCGAGCTTCACGCTGGTCTATGGAGACCGAGCTTCACGCTGGTCTATGGAGACCGAGCTTTAGCTGTTCTATAAAGACGACCTTCAGCTCGTCTATAAATACTATGTTTATATTGCCTATAAAGACGACTCCCTCTGCTCTATAACGACATCTTTCGCTCGTCTATAGAGACTCATTACCGCTCGTCTATAGAGACTCTCTGCCGCTCGTCTATAGAGACTCTCTGCCGCTCGTCTATAGAGACTCTCTGCCGCTCGTCTATAGAGACTCTCTTCCGCTCGCCTATAGATACTCTCTTCCTCTCGCCTATAGAGACCCTCTTCGTCTCGCCTATAGAGACTCTCTTCCTCTCGCCCATAGTGACTCTCTTCCTCTCGCCCATGGTGACTCTCTTTCGCTCGTCTAGAGAGGCTCTCTCCGGCTCGTTTATAGATACTACCTTTTGGTTTCCTACAAAGACTCCCTTCAGCCCATCTACTACAAATCCCTATTTGACCCTTTATTTTTTTCGCATTATTTACAGAAACCAATGCTCGACTTTGTGGACACCCTGCAGGCAATGTTTGAATACGAATGGAATCCTGTACTAAATTGGGTGCCAGTGGTGGAGAAGGACTTTGGCCAGGAACGTTTCATTGTTGAAGACCCCTATAAAACCATGAAGGAGGGCAATATCCAAAAAGTCCCACTCATAACGGGTATAACGGAATATGAATTCTACTATTTGGCCTTCTGTAAGTCTCTTTTCCGATTATCTATTTTTTTTTTTTTTTGAATATTCATTAATTTTACTTCGCCCAGTTACTTTGCGCAATGCGACTCAGCGCCAACGTTTCAATCAGGACTTTGCCAAATATAATCCAATTTACTTTTTATATGAACGCGATACGCCACGATCTCGCAACATCAGCCAGGCGATGCGTTCATTTTATTTTGAAAATAAGACTTTGGAATATCCCCAGTCGTTGACACGTTTTGGTGAGCTATACAGCGATGGTTTGATATGCTTTGAATATCATCGCTTTTTGCATATGGTCTCCAAGCACATACCGGTCTACACCTATCACTTTACGTACAAGGGACGTTATAGCCATTTCATGAATCCGGATACTAATCAGACTTTGGGTAAGAGAAGAAAATTGTGTGATAGAGGAGATAATTAACAAATTAATGTATCTTAGGTGCCATGCATCATGATGAGCTCTTGTATCTGTTCAATGTCCCCTTGATGACACCAATGTTTGGTAAAACCGATCCGGAAAATGATACAGTTGAACGTTTAACTCGAATATTTTATGAATTCGCCAAGAAGAGGTAGGATGGGAAAACAAAAAAAATTAAATTATTATAATAATAATTACTTCCTTTGTAGCGATCCGAACAACAGCACCGATGAATATCTTAAGAATGTGAGGTGGCCCCTCTATGATCAGACAAAGAAACAATATCTGGAAATTGGCAAGAATTTGCAGGTTAAGTCAAATGGTATTTTTCCACAGCGTATGGAACTATGGGATCGCCTGTTCCCTGTGGAGGATATGATAAATACGAAATTGTAAATCGCCTTTTTAACTAAAAAGTAATTCAATAATAAATCGATGATTCCTAGAAAAAATGATATCCAGGAATCGAATGACTACAAATCTATGTACCCATCCCCCTTTCAGCTCATTTTTCCGATTTCTGCTTATTTAGGGGTCTTAAATTATAGTTTACTTTTGTATAATGACTTCATTATCTATTGAAGAGGGCGTCCGTAGTATTTTTTCCCACATCAACAGTTCTCCATAAATAAATATTAGTTTTATAAACAATTTGGCAACAAAAAACATTTATTAGGTGACGAAGATTCAATAGCCGAGCAACTTAATTCTATTTAGCCATTCAAATGCAAAGCAAGTAAAAAAAGCTGTAAGTTCGGCCGGGTCGAACTTTGAATGCCCTCCACCCATTTGAAACGAATTTGGCAATTTTCAAAAAAAAGAAAATCCATTTAAAATTCTGTTAAAATCTTAAAAATACCAAATTTAGCCGTCATATTAGGGTCTAAGCTACGACGTGGACCTGCATAGGCAACTTCTGTCATAAGTCATTACAATATTCAAATTCGAAACTTGACAAAAAATCGGTGAATAATGTAACTAAAATCATCAAAATGCCGAATATAGGGAGGTACTACTGGGACTATAAAACGTGGACCTGCACATACATTTTTCTGCCTAAGGCTGCAGTATCCATTACGAACTTCAAATACCAAATTTGAAACAATTCCGGCAAATAATGTCGCTAAAATCATCAAAATACCGAATATTGGGAGGTTCCGTTATATCGGGGCTATACGAAGACGTGGACCTGAACAGACAATTTTCTGCCTAAGGCTGCAGTATCCATTACGAACTTCAAAAACCCAATTTGAAACAATTCCGGTGAATAATGTCGCTAAAATCATCAAAATACCGAATATCAGGAGGTTCCGTTATATGGGGGCTATACGAAGACGTGGACATGCACAGATAATCTCATGTCATATGCTGTAGTATCCATTACGAAGTTCAAATACCAAATTTGAAATAATTCCGGTGAATAATATCGCTAAAATCATTAAAATACCGAATATCGGGAGGTTCCGTTATATGGGGGCTATACGAAGACGTGGACCTGCACACACAATTTTCTGTCTTAGGCTGCAGTATCTACCTCGAACTTCAAATACCCAATTTGAAACAATTCCGATATATAATGTCGCTAAAATCATCAAAATACCGAATATCAGGAGGTTCCGTTATATGGGGGCTATACGAAGACGTGGACATGCACAGATAATTTTCTGTCTGAAGCTGTAGTATTCATTACGAACTTCAAATATAAAAATTTGAAACAATTCCGGTGAATAATATCGCTAAATTCAACGAAGTACAGAATATCGGGAGGTACCGTTATATGGGGCTATACGAAGACGTGGACCTGCACAGACAATTTTTTGTCTGAAGCTGTAGTATTCATTACGAACTTAAAATAACAAATTTGAAACAATTCCGGTGAATAATGTCGCTAAAATCATCAAAATACCGAATATCGGGAGGTACCGTTATATCGGGGCTATACGAAGACGTGGACGTGCAAAGATAATCTCATATACTGTAGTATCCATTACGAGCTTCAAATACCAAATTTGAAAAAATTCCGGTGAATAATATCGCTAAATTCAACGAAGTACAGAATATCGGGAGGTACCGTTATATGGGGGCTATACAAAGACGTGGACCTGCACAGACAATTTTTTGTCTGAAGCTGTAGTATTCATTACGAACTTCAAATATCAAATTTGAAACAATTCCGGTGAATAATATCTCTAAAATCAACGAAGTACCGAATATCGGGAGGTACCGTTATATGGGGGCTAAACGAAGACGTGGACATGCACAAACAATTTTTTGTCTTAGGTTGCAGTATCTACCTCGAACTTCAAATACCCAATTTAAAACAATTCCAGTAAATAATGTCGCTAAAATCATCAAAATACCGAATATCGGGAGGTACCGTTATATGGGGGCTATACGAAGACGTGGACCCACATGACCCATTTTCAATACCAAAAGTCCTGCAGACATAATATACTTATTTGAGTAAAATTTTATCAATCTTCTTCATTTCGTTCGGAAGCTAGAATGATTTCCACAGACGGACAGACAGATAGACAGATGGAAATCGCTAAATCGACATAGAATTTTATGCTGATCAAGAATATATATACTTTGTGGGATCTACAATGTATATGTCGAGGTATTACAAACGGAATGACAAACTTAATATACCCTCCATACTATGGTGGAGGGTATAAAAGAATTGCGTGTTGGATATGTGCGTGTCGCGAGGCTTCGATATATAAATTAAACTGTGAAATCACACACAATTTAAAATAATTGTCCGATACGGATTTCCACTGAAATCACGAAATTTACATAGCCTAATATGAATATAAATATGTGGAGATAAAACTACGATCGTAAGTTGTCTTTCGGATTTTCAGCGGATTGAAACATTTTTTGGCGGGACAAAGTGTAACTCTGTATTCAAATCGCAATGTTAATCAAAGTGGGGATTTTTCTTTTAATAATGACAACGGGTTGTTATGCCGATGTTAATACCATCACAGTGGATACTACGTTGGGCGCCATAAAAGGCATCGAAATGGAAACACGTTTTGGCAACAAATTTTGGTCCTTTCGTGGAATACGTTATGTTGAACCACCATTGGGAGAGTTACGTTTTCAAAATCCTCAACCAATTAAAGCTTGGAAACCAGAAGTATTGGATGCAACCAGCGATGGACCCCTATGTCCACAAGTAACCGAACACATGGATATGCTGGCAGAAGATTGCCTACATTTAAATATCTACACCAAATCACTGAACTCCGACCAACCTCTGAAGCCCGTCATAGTTTTCATACATCCCGGCGGCTTTCATGGAGGTACTGGCATCAGTGTCCTAATGGGGCCACGTTATTTCATGGAACGTGACATTGTCTTGGTGACATTTAATTATCGCCTGGCCTCATTGGGTTTCTTGGCCATCAATACTGCACAAGCTACGGGAAATATGGGTCTGAAGGACCAAGTTATGGTTTTACGTTGGATCCGCGATCACATTGAAAAATTTGGTGGTGATTCGAATTCTGTTACCTTGTGGGGCTACAGTGCCGGAAGTCTAAGTGTGGGTTTACATATGCTGTCGCCAATGTCCAAGGGTCTATTCCATCGTGCAATAATGCAAAGTGCATCGCCATTGGGTCATTTTCGTTATGACAATAATCAAATGGAATTGGCTGAGAAACAAGCAAAACTATTGGAGTGTCCTACTGCACCCGTGGCAGATATGGTGAAATGTTTAAAGGAAGTAAGTAAATGGCTTAGAGAAAGCCTAAAGTGAAAGATATGGAGGGAGACAAAACTTACACAGCCTTTATAGACGGGCTGAAGAGAGTCTTTTTAGACCTTTGGACTGAAGGGAGTCCTTCTAGGCAAAGCTGGAGGTCGCCTTTATAGGCGAGCTGGAGTTCGCCTTGAAGGCTTGAAGGTTGTCCTTATAGGTGAGCTGAAAGTCGTCCTTATATATAGGCGAGCTGGAGGTCGCCTTTATAGGCGAGCTGGAGGTCGCCTTTATAAACGAGCTGCAGGTCGTCCTTATAGGCGAGCTGTAGGTCGCCTTTATAAACGAGCTGGAGGTCGCCTTTATAGGCGAGCTGAAGGTCGTCGTTATAAACGAGCAGGAGGTCACCTTTATAGACGAGCTGAAGGTCGTCGTTATAAACGAGCTGGAGGTCGCCTTTATAGGCGAGCTGGAGGTCGCCTTTATAGGCGAGCTGGAGGTCGCCTTTATAGGCGAGCTGGAGGTCGCCTTTATAGGCGAGTTGGAGGTCGCCTTTATAGGCGAGCTGAAGGTCCTCCTTATAGGCGAGCTGAAGGTCCTCCTTATAGGCGAGCTGAAGGTCCTCCTTATAGGCGAGCTGAAGGTCCTTCTTATAGGCGAGCTGAAGGTCCTCCTTATAGACAGGCTGAAGGACGTTCTTATAGACCGGCTGGAGGTTGTCTCCACAGACGAGTTGAAGGTCCTACTTTTAGGTGACCTGAAAGCAGTCATTATAGACGACCTAAAAGCCGTCTTTATAGAAGAGTTGAATGGAGTCGTCAAAATAGATGAGCTGAAGTGAGCCTTTATAATTGTCATAGACGAGCTGAAGTGAACCTTTAACGTCTTCATAGACGAGTTGAAGTGAGACTTTATGGACCAGCCGAAGGAAGTCTTGATAGATAAATCAAAGCGAGTTATTATAGAAGAACCCAGAGGATTTTTTATAGACGAGATGAAGGGAAGCTCCACAGATTGATAGAGAATTCACAATACGTCCCTTATATATTTTACAGAAACCAATGATGGATTATGTAAAAACCTCAACCGATATGTTTGAATCGAATTGGAATCCGATTTACAATTGGTTTCCAGTTGTGGAAGCGGATTTTGGTCAAGAACGTTTCCTTACCGAAGACCCCTATAAAACAATGATGAGTGGCAATATAAACAAGGTTCCGCTTATGATTGGTTTAGCCGAATATGAATTGTATTTCTTTGCACATCGTAAGTTCTGAAAATTTATAAATTAATCGAATTTAAAAAATTGGTTACAAATTATTAATTTCAGATACTTTACTTAACGAAGAACAGCGTCAGCATTTTATAGATGAATTTGATAAATATGCTCCCATATATTTCATGTACGAAAGATCAGGTCCCATGTCTGCAAACATAAGTCAGCAATTGGGAGCATACTATTTGCAAGGCAATCCAATTGAGTTTCCAAAATCTGTGGAAAAATTTGCTGAGGTATATAGCGATAGTTTGATATGCTTTGCCAATCATCGTTTTTTGCAAATGATTGCCGAACATGTGCCCGTCTACAATTATTTATTTAATTATAAGGGCCGTTATAATTACTTTAAGCTGGACGAAGCTTTGGGTAAGAAGTGGTTATTATTCTGTGATAGATTATATTTTCTATAAACTAGGTGCCATGCATCTTGATGAGCTTCTCTATTTCTTCAATTCACCGCTGTTAACCCCAACATTTACGGCAGGTGATCCTGAAAATGATACCATAGAAAGGTTAACACGTTTGTGGTATGAATTTGCAAAGAAGGGGTGAGTTCCATCAATGATACAGATATCTTACAGACACATTATCTTATCTCTTGTTTGAAATTTTCCAGTGATCCAAATAATCCATCCGATGATTATCTGAAAAATATCCAATGGCCGCTACATAGCTCAAACAATATGGAGTATTTGCAAATTGATGAAGATGTCAATGTAAAAATGAATGGCATATTCTCGGATCGTATGAAGTTTTGGGAGACTCTTTTCCCCTTACAAGAAGTAATTGGTAAATTCTAATGGAATAAAATTTAAATGTCTTTAAATAACTTTTAGAAATATACATATTAAGCATGCCCAGCAATTTTTCAACTTGTATCTCATGGTTTTCCAAATGTTGCTTCATTATATCAAATTAGCATCATAATCTTCCTTGTTGCTATTAATAACCTTTCTTTGCTACAGAATAGAACCAGTAAGGAAAAGTCAAAAGTTGTGCGGGGACTGCGACTATATGATAACCTACACCTCTATGCATATTTAGTAGAGCTCTCGTAACAAAAGAATTTATTTGCAGTAGATCATACCTTAGAGCAGATCATGGCTTTAGAGCAGTAATAGTTTGGTTTCAGAGGTAACCAATGTATGGGAAGCATTTCCAATTTTGAATATATTTTCACTAAATTTGAAAGAGACATTTTAATCAAAAAAGCTGTAAGTTCGGCCGGGCCGAACTTTGAATACCCTCCACCATTTGGAACGATTTTGGCAATTTTCAAAAAAATAAAATCCGTTAAAAATTCTGTTAAAATCTTAAAAATTAACAAATGCAGCCGTCATATTAGTGTCTAAACGATGACGTGGAACTGCATAGGCAACTTTTGTCATAAGTTAAAAAGCAGTGAGTTGGGCTGGGCCGAACTTTTAATACCCTCCACCATTTGGTACGGCTTTAGAAATATTCAAAAAAATAAAATCCTTAAAAAATTCTGATAACATTTTAAAAATATCGAATATAGCCTTTATATTGGGGTCTATACGACATAGGCATTGTTTTCCATAAGCCATTACCATATTCAAATTCGAAACTTGAAATAAACGGTGAATAATGTAGCTAAAATCATCAGAATGTCGTATATAGGGAGGTACCGTTATATCGGAGCTGTGGGAATACCTGGACCAGCATAGACAATTTTCTGTCATAGGATGTAGCATCCATTACGAACTTCGCATACGACATCTCAAACAATTTCGGTGGATATTGTACCTAAAATCGTCAAAATACCGAATATAGGAAGGTACTGATATGTGGGGCTTATACGAAGATCTGGCAATCCCACGGCAGCGGGTTCTACGATACCGGATTGACCCGAAACAACAAGATTCCAGTTTCGGCCAGCGGCTGCCAACCCAGTATGTACATGTTTGTGTTTGTTTATTTTTCTGCATTGGGAGCAGCATATCCCGGAATGCTTGCTCCGGATTTTATTAGTCCGTGCCGGGATTGAGGAAAACCCCGGACCTTGGTTCTGCTCGGTTTATCAGAACGTCATCCACCACAGATCTGTCTCGGTGCGATGTAATGGATGCAGAGAGTGGGTGCACTTCAAGAACTGTTCCGGATTAAGGCGTTTGCGAGACTACAGCGAAAGGGATTATGTTGCGACTTGCTGCAGTAACGTAGTCCCCAGCGAGTCCTCTTCTTCGTCGTCCTCGTCAGAGACGTCGTCGGAGTATGGCACTCCACCGCAGTCTCCAGAACAGCAACCAACACCGCAGCACCTAACGCCACATGTTGCTGTTCCAACTCCGGATTGTGCATCGTTCTTGCAATTCAATTGCAACGGACTTCGAGGCAAAATAGATGAGATAGTGGAATTTATGAGTCGGAGGAATATTAAGATCGCAGCGGTGCAGGAAACCAAGCTGAATGAAAATTGCAGCCTACAACGTTGTTATGGTTACAACGTACTAAGGAAGGAACGCACCAGAAGTGGAGGTGGGGGATTAGCGTTCCTGTTACACCATTCTGTTCAGTACAGGCCTATCTCGCTTGAGCTAGTCTCTAGTGACCCATACATGGAATGTATGGGGGTAGCAGTCAAGTGTGGAACTGCCGAGGTAGAGGTGCTTAATGTGTATATCCCGCCGATTAATAGCTGTGAACCGCGTTATTTGCCTGATATTAGCCCATTATTGGTAGGCAATAACCGCCTGGTACTAGGGAATTTTAATGCCCACCATGAGTTGTGGCATTCCGTCCTAGGTAATGACCAGAGGGGATCAGCGCTGGCAGAGCAGATTGACTGCTCCACATTCTGCACGGTTAACGAGGATGCCCCCACCCGAATAAGAGGAGAGTGTCACAGTTCGCCAGACTTAACCATAGTGTCACCCGGTCTGATAAATGACGTGACTTGGCAACCCGTCATTTCTCTTGGCTCGGACCATCTCCCGATAATCGTCTCCATAAGCAGGTCGCCCGATTTCATAACCTCTGAACGCCGCACTTTCCTTAACCATGGGAAAGCTCACTGGCCAGAGTTCACCAACCGCCGCTTCAGAGAACTGCCCAACCCTTCTGATGTTCGGGTAGCAGAGAGGATTTCCCGAAACATCATCAGAGCTGCAGCCGCTCGCTATATACCTGCTGGTCGAATACCCGAGATAAGACCAAACTTCCCAGCAGAGGCAGGGGGATTAGCAAATGAGCGTGATGATCTCCGTCGTACCAACCCTACTGATCCTAGAATCAGTGATTTGACAGTGGAAGTCAACCGGTTGGTACAGGAGCATAAGAGGAAAAAGTGGCTAGACCATCTGAAGTGCTGCAACATTGGAACCGATATGAGTAAGCTGTGGGTAACGGTTAAATCGCTCTCGAACCCTGGAAAAAAGGATGATAGGACCTCAGTCACTTTTAACGACGTAACGGTGACTGATCCGAAGAGGTGCGCGGAATATTTTAACCGACAATTTGTCGAGCACCCGAGAGCGATAGGGCGAAGCGAAGAGTACTACGTCGTATCAGATCTCTTCCCGCCGAGGAGGAACCACCACAGTTTACGATGGGTGATGTTGCAAATGTCATCCGTAACGCTAAGTCATCCAAAGAGTTGGGCCCGGACGGAATCTCAATGGTAATGTTGAAGCAGCTGGATACGCCGGGAGTCGAGTACTTAACGAAAGTTCTCAATTTGTCGCTAGCCACCCACATAGTGCCCGAAACCTGGAAAATGGGCCGGGTGGTCCCGCTACTGAAGCCAGGCAAGGATGCCAATAAAGGCGAATCGTACAGGCCGATTTCGCTTTTGTCGCCAGTAGCAAAGACTCTTGAGGCTTTACTCCTCCCCAGCATTCGAGGAAGCTATACAGTTGCCAACCACCAGCACGGATTCCGTCCACAACATAGTACCACAACAGCATTACACGCCATTTCCACACATATTAATAGAGGACTGAACCAGAACAGGCCGTGTGACAGAACAGTGTTGGTAGCCCTTGACCTATCAAAGGCATTTGATACGGTCAATCATGCCACACTGTTTGAGGACGTACAGAGAACTACCCTCCGGCCAAGTTTGAAACGTTGGATAATCAACTATATGTGTGGACGCCAGTCGTACGTGGAATTCCGGAACAAGAAGTCCAAAGCCCGTAGAGTGAAACAGGGAGTTCCCCAAGGCGGGGTGATATCTCCGGAACTGTTTAACCTCTACCTTTCCGGAATTCCTCGCCCTCCAGACGGCATTGAGATCGTAACGTATGCAGATGATTGTACGATCATGGCGTCAGGTCCAGTGGTCGATGACATATGCGAAAGGTTGAACCCCTATCTCGCGGAGCTTGCCGCATACTTCCACGCGAGGAATATGAAAATATCCGCCACGAAATCAACGGCCACACTCTTTACCACATGGTCTGCGGAGATGAGAACACAGCTGAATGTTCAGGTCGAGGGGAATCTAATACCGACCACGAACTACCCCAAGATCCTTGGGGTAACGTTCGACAGCATGTTCAAGTCGTCCGCACAAGCCACAGCTATCTGCGACAAGATGAAAAGTAGGAACAAGGTCCTCAAGGCGCTAGCCGGCAGCTCTTGGGGTGCGGACAAAGAAACCTTGTTGACCTCTTATAACGCGATAGGTCGGTCTGTGGTCAACTATGCGGCTCCAGTGTGGTCTGCGAATACTAGTGCTACGCAGTGGAAGAATATCCAGACCTGCCAGAACGCTGCCCTGAGAACTGCGACAGGGTGCCTCCTCATGACACCAGTGGACCATCTACATGAGGAGGCGAAAGTCCTTCCCTTACGTCAGCATAATCATATGCTTTCGTTGCAGTACCTGCTTGGGTGTTACCGTGAGAGTCATCCCAACCATTATATGGTGGATAACTCTCCCCCACCCAGGCGTGTCAGGAAGGACATACATGATCTAGAGAGGGAGGTCCAGCGCTACAAAAGAGAGCCTCTAGATCAAGAAGCCTATCAGGCAGGTCTGAGTGGCATTCACACCGATGCAGTCGCGGATGCTATTAGCAGTTACAAAGTGAATGCCGTCCTCGGAGTCCACCCCCCATCCATTGCAGCCGAAGAACGTCAGCTGCCTAGACAAACCAGGGTAGTTTTGGCGCAATTACGTTCAGGATGGTGTAGTCGCCTCAATTCGTATTGGGCACGAATTGATGAAGATGTGCGTGACGCCTGCCCGGCGTGCGATACAGGCCCGCACAATACGCTACACCTTTTTAATTGCTCAGCCAAACCTACCCAACTCACTCCAGAGGATCTCTGGCTACAGCCCGTTAAAGTAGCCGAATTTCTAAACCTGGATCTGGAACCAGATTAGCAGAACAGAAACACACACATGTACTACTGCTACAACAACAACAACAACAACGAAGATCTGGACCTGCATAGACAATTTTCTGTCACAGACTGTAGTTCCCATTACGAACTCTAAATACGTAATTTGAAACAATTCCGGTGAATAATGACGCTAAAATCATCAAAATACCGAATATTGGGAGGTAGCGTTATATGGAGGCTAAACGAAGACGTGGACCAGTACAGACAATTTTTTGTCTTAGGATGTAGTATCCATTACGTACTTCAAATACCAAATTTGAAATAATTGCGGTGAATAATGTCGCTAAAATACTGAATATCGGTTGGTACCGTTATATGTGGGCTATACCAAAACTTGGACCTACATGGCCCATTTTTAATACCACAAGTCATGCAGACATAATATACATTTGAGTAAAATTTTATCAATCTACTTTGATTCTTTCGAAAGCTAGAGGGACTTCCACAGACGGATAGACGGACATAGCTAAATCGATATAGAATTTAATGCTGATCAAGAAAATATATACTTTGTGGGGTCTAAAATTTATATTTCGAGGTATTGCAAACGGAATGACAAACTTAATATACCCTTCATACTATGGTGGAGGGTATATATCGGAGCCGATTTCCACATAATGGAAACATACGTCCCAAAATTCACTCCATTTGGGCTGATATCAGCCATTATTTGCACAATAAACATGAAATCAGATTAAGGATATATATGGGAGCTATATACAAATATTAGCCGATCTCGATAAAAATTTGTCAAAGGTATTTCCGAACTCTATAAGATATCTGATACCAAATATCATTCTTGTGGAGTGCATATTACGAATGTGAGGGACTTAAACACCAATTCGAATAAAACATACATATGGGAGCTATAGCTACATAAGAACCGATTTTCACCAAATTTAATGTACTTGCTTCTAGACTGATTTCGGTCGGATGGGACAAAATTCAGGTCATTTGAACTGATATTGGCCTTTGAAGAAAATAAGTCTTTTTCAGAAATTTAAAAGTAGAGAAGTTTACAGACAATCAGAATATATATGAGGAGTATTGGATCATTGTTGTGGCAGCTCGTTCTGATGTTTGTCCTGACCTGGCCCTGCTTTACAATTCAATTTCAAAAAGGTGCCAACATGTAAGGTTTGAAGTAACAGAAGCACTGGAGTTAGTTGGTTAGGTTTGCTGGAGTCCTTTTATATGGCAACTTCCATAAACGACTAAGACTGGTCTGTAAAAACAAGCAAAAATATATTTTTAACTACGATGACTACTTAAATAGAAGTTAATATTCGAATTTTAATATTATTGTTCGATTTCCAGCATAGTTTAAAATAACATTGGTTTATTTTATGTTCCCAGTCTCCCGGTCATAGGAGAACTATATTTCTAGTTATTTATGTACACAGCCTCCATTTTTCTTCATTTATCAACAACAAACTTTATAACGAATTCGTTAGTTCATATTTTTTAAAATCTAGAACCCTTATCTTCGGCATACAAAAAATATATGGAAACCTTGTCACCAGTTGGTAAGTGTACAACTTCCTCGTGACTTATTAAACGTATAGCAGCCAGGCCATAGAACAGCATGGGCAAACCTAACGAAAACAAATGAGTAAAATTAAATTCAAAATTCTCATAAATTTCTGTGCCGGCTGCATCTCTTACCCAAATTAATAATCTTCAGAAAACGAAAGAATTTATCTTCCAACGACAAGTCTTGTATTTCTCGTTTTGTGCAGTGATACTTTAAATATGGATAACATGCTGTCCGCAGGATATGATAGTTGGCTCCACTATCCAGTGTCCAATTGAAATGTGATCGACCCCATTGGTCATTCTCTACATCCTTGAGCTGTAACAATCAATGTGAAGTGTATTGGTTGTTTGGTTTTTAACTCAACTCATGGTTTACCTTAACAAAATAGGATGTCCAGGGTGGTTCGTTGCATTGTTTTAAATAGGCTGTCAATACCTCGGAGGCTCTGGGTTTTAGTAAAATCCGGCTAAGTTGCATTGTGTAATTTTGTGTGTTTTTAATTGTTGTTGTTTTTATAAATAAAGTAAACAAAAGAAGCACAGCTGTTTGATTTCGTAGTGTTGGAAAGCGATAAAAGTGACAACTGTAACTCACAGAAGGAGCTGTACAGTGTTGCCAACTACTTTTTCAACTTAGCCGTTACTAAAAAGTAGCAACGAGCCTAGGGCCAGAAGGAAGTTTTTTTTAATAGAAAGAATGGTTATATAAACGAGAAGAAACAATCTCCTGTAGACTTTTGCAAAAAGAAGGATTATAAGCGACTGGAATAAAGTCCCTGAAGCAGAACAAACGCGACTAGAAGGCGGTCAATGTATAGACAAACCAGAGGAGATGAGTTAAAGCTCCCATTTAGTTGCATGTATTGGAGTGATAAATGAAAGCTTCCGTATATTTTGCGGACAAAACACAATTTAGACGACCAGGAGGGACGACGACATGAAGACCGCCTTTCAAAATGTCCAAAGAAAGTCTGTTTGAGGTCACTAGAAATAAGTCTTTTTTAATAGACAACAAGTAAAAAAACATTAAGTTCTGCCGTGCCAAACTATTAATATCCTCCACCTTAGGATAATGGAAACATTAGAACCAATTATGAATCACAAATACCAATTTTTAGACATATTCGTGGGAAAATGTGGCAAAAAATCATCAAATTGCCGAATATCTGGAGGTACCGCTATATAGGGCTATACCAAAACGTGGACCTATACATACAATGTTTCGCCACACGAACTAGGACCCATTATGACCTACAAATCCGTGAAAAAATGTGGCAAAAATCATCAAAATAACAAAAAGTCGGGAGGTACAGTTATATGGAGCTATACCAAAACGTGGACCTATACATGCAATGTTTCGCCATCGCAGCTAGAACTCACTATGACCAACAAATACCAATTTTTAGACAAATCCATGAAAAAAATGTGGCAAAAATCATCAAAATACCGAATATCGGGAGGTACCGTTATATGGGGGCTATACTTAAACGTGGACCGATATATGTCATTTTCAATACCAACCATCCTAGACACAATACAAATTATTCTGCAAAATTTTGACGCTCTACGTCAAATAATGTGGCGTGTATCGTGATTTCAGAAGACAGACGACGGACATCGTTAAATCGACTTAGAATTTTATGCTGATAACAAATATATAGACTTTATGGAGTCTACGACGAATATTTAGAGATGTTACAAACGGAATGACCCTGCTTTCCAAGATGGAGGGTATAAAAATCCTTGGTAGAAAAATAATTTCAAATATTTTGACAATTTGCCCGAAAATTTAGGGATATTGAATATTGAAGGCATATTTCTTCCATTCTTTTTTTAAATTACTGACATACTATCAATAATTGAAAATGTCTTTCAAATCAAAACCCCACTCCATCTTCCGACTATTTTCAACGGCTCCAAAGAAAGTGAATCTCAAAACACAAATCAAAACAAAATCCATTGTTGATGTGCCGCAATTTGACCCCAAACTGGAAATAAGAAATGAAACCATTCTGAAATATAATAGCGGCTCAGAAGAACTAAAACAATTACAAGAATCTCTGGAATCCTACCAATCCAATGTTCAAGAAATTCCCATAGTTATTGGTGGCAAAGAATTGAAAAGCAAAACAGAACGTTGGCAGGTTATACCACATCGACATCATCAATGTTTGGCCAAATATTATGAGGCTGATGAAAATCTAATCAATAAGGCCATACGTACAGCTGTGGAAGCAAAAACCAAATGGTCTAGAACGGATGTAAAGACCCGCCTGGATATTTGGTTTAGGGCGGCAGAATTGATGTCAACAAAATACAAAGCCCAATTGGTGGCTGCCACCATGTTGGGTCAGTCCAAGACATTGCAACAGGCCGAAATAGATGCCGGTGTTGAGTTGATTGATTTCATGAGGATGAATGCTGGCTTTCTAAATGAACTACACAAATATCAGCCGTTAAGCCCGAGTCCGGGTGTTTCAAAAAATCACATGATATGGAGGTCTTTGGATGGTTTTGTGGCAGCTATTAGTCCTTTTAATTTTACTGCCATTGGTGGTAATCTGGCCTATACGCCAGCCCTAATGGGCAACACAGTACTGTGGAAGCCCTCGCACTCTGCAATGCTCTCAAGTTGGTTGATTTTCAAAATTATGCAAGAAGCTGGCCTGCCCGATGGAGTGGTTAATTTCATACCAGCCGATGGCCCAGTTTTTGGTCAGACCATTACCTACTCCACTAATTTGGGAGGCATTAACTTCACCGGTTCCTTGACCACATTTCGCACACTTTGGAAATTGGTCTCAAAACATTTGGAATTTTACAAAAGTTTTCCCCGCCTTAGCGGTGAATGTGGAGGTAAAAATTTCTATTTTGTCCATTCCTCTGCCGATGTTGCATCTGTGGTGGCCTGCACCATACGCAGTGCCTTTGAGTATGGTGGACAGAAGTGTTCGGCTTGTTCCAGACTCTATGTTCCCCAGAGCCTATGGGAAACGGAAATCAAGGATATGCTTTGTTCCCAAACCGGATATCTGTTGATGGGTGATGTTTGTGATTTTGATACCTTCCTAGGGGCTGTCATCGATGATAAGGCATTTCTACGCATTGCCAAATATTTAGATTTGGCCAAAACAAATCCGCAATGTAATGTTTTAATCGGTGGCCGTTGCACAAATTTACGGGGTTATTTTGTCGAGCCGACAATTGTTGTTTGTCGTGATCCTTATGATATTCTATTAAAAGAGGAAATTTTCGGTCCTCTGTTGATGGTGTATGTTTATAAGGAGAGTGACCTTTGGAATACCCTTGATTTGATGGGTTCAACAACAAAATATGCCTTGACGGGTTCTATATTTGCGCGGGATGAAACATTTCTTAAGGAGGCTTTAGTGAGACTTCAAACAGCGGCTGGTAATTTGTATATCAATGACAAATCAACGGGTGCGGTAGTAGGTCAACAACCTTTTGGTGGTAGTAAATTATCGGGAACAAATGATAAGCCGGGTAGCCCTCATAATTTGCTGCGTTGGTCATCTCCCCTAACCATTAAGGAAGCATTTCAGCCCCAACACGAAATTTATTATCCTCATATGAAAATTGAAGAGAATTGTTAATAAATTATTAAATATTTTAAAATAAATTGATGCCGAAGCTACATTGGTCTTGAATTCTTATTAAGATGTGCCAAGTCTGAATGGAATCGGATGTTGGTTTAGCGTTTTATGAGCTTCATGAATATTATTAAAATTTTGGTTCTTTGTGAGAGAGATATATCAGAAGGTGTGGACCGATATGTTACAACATCACACCAGACCTTGGGCTAATAAAAATATCGTAATGTGTGTAATTTCAAGAGATCCGGAAGCATATTTCTCCTTCTTTGAGTGTTTTGTTTTTCAAAATTTTACCCCCTTTTGTGGGGGAGGTACCAGAAGAAATGGTCCGATCTCTGCCATCTTTATAAGAGGTCTTGTGTTGAAGGAAATATTGGGATGTGCCAAGTCTGAATGGAATCGGATGTTAATTTCCTGTTTTATGAACTTCATGCATATTCAAAATTTTGACCTTTTGTGGGGGAGGTCCCCGAAGAAGTTGGCCGATATATTCCATCTTCACACCACACCTGGGATGTTTACGTTTTGTGGGGGAAGAACCAGAAGGAGTGATATATACCCTCTGTAGCCATATGGCTGAGGCTATAACTAGCCATATGGCTGAGGCTATGACTAGCCATATGGCTGAGGGTATATAAAAAAATTCTTCTCAGCCACAAATTTCTGCAAGTGTACAAAAAGTCAAATAATAATAAATTAAGGAAAAAAACAATGAATAACAACGTCATATTTTTACTAATTATTTGCCTAACTCTCCTGCGAAGGATAGAAACGGATTCAGACACAGAATCGCGAAATGATGAAAAAGGTTTGTAAGTTTTCCACACATCATCCCGTAGTAATGTTTAACACTCCTTCTAGAGAAACCCCATCAAGTCCTCCCAGAGAAACCCCATCAAGTCCTCCCAGAGAAACCCCATCAAGTCCATGGTTTATACGATGAATTTATGCAACGCCTTAGACCACTGAACTTTGTCATCCAAAAGGAAAATATTCCAACAAAGGACACACGTTCCGCCATGGGCAGTACCAGCCTATATGACATTTTCAAGAAACGCCTATCGTGTATTACCAATCCGTACGATCATCAGTATGCGGATATAACAAATGATGAATTGGAAACTAATTTTATGGGTGATGATGGAAAACGATGTGATCATTGTTATGGAGAATATTTGAAAAATAAGTCATCTGCAGATGATAATAGAATTGATTGGAATTTAACTGAAATAAATGAATATTAAGGGAATGATATGTTAACTTCGTAATTGAGAGAGTTTCAAATTTTGAAAATTAATATCGGATAAATACTTCAGAATTTCTTTTTGGGCCTGCTTGTGGTTGCGTATTTTGTCTTTTTCGAGGAAAAAAAAAACAGTAACTCATCGAATTTTTAGACCTAGCAAAGTGTATATATTCTTGATTAGCGTTCAATTCTAAGACGATTTAGCCCTGTGTCCGTCCCTCTATTATTATCTCGTTAGAGTCAAAACAAATTAAGGTAGGAGGCTAAAATTTTGCAACGATCTGTCATTTATCTGTCATAGGGAGGTCAAGTTCGAATTATTTGAAATTCTACCAACGAAATTCTACCAACGTCTATATAGGTTCACGATATCGTATATCCCCCAATAGAACGGTACCTCCCGACGTTCGGTACTTTTATGATTTAAGCCAATTTTTTCAATAAAATTGTCTAAATTTCTACACAAGGAGTTGTTTTTGAGTGCAATACCTCCTGGAAGAGAATTGTCCACATAGGTCGTTTAGTATAGCACCCATGTAACGGTACCCCCGATATTCGGTATTTTGATGATTTTAGCGACATTAATCTCCGGAATTGTCCCAAATTTAGTATTTGAAGTTCTTAATCGATACTACATCCTATGACAGAAAATTGTCTGTGCAGGTCCACATCTTCGTATAGCCCCCTCCCGATATTCGGTATTTTGATGATTTTAGCGACATTATTCACCAGAACTGTTTCAAATTTCGTATTTGGAGTTCGTAATAGATAATACAGTCTGTGACAGAAAATTGTTTATGCAGGTCCACGTCTTCGTATAACCCCCATTTGACGGTACCTCCCAAAATTCGGCACTTTGATGTTTATAGCGACATTATTCACCGGAATTGTTTCAAATTTAGTATTTGAAGTTCGTAGTGGATACTACAGCCTATGACGGAAAATGGTCTATGCAGATTCCAGTCTTCGTATATCGCTTATATAACGCTAGCCCCCGATATTCGATATTTTGATGATTTTAGCGACATTTTTCACCGGAATTGTTTCAAATTTCGTATTTGAAGTTCGGAATCGTTACGACAGCCTATGACAAAAAATAACTTATGCAGGACCACGTCTACGTATAGCCCCCATATAAAGATTTTTATTTGTGCGGTATTTTTCGACGGATTATTTTTTTTTATTTTTCAAGTTGATTCCAAATGGTGGGGAGTATGCCAAGTTTGGCCCGGTCGAATTTAGCTGCTTTTTTAGATATAACTTATAATGAGGCTACCTTGAATTGTTACTTTTCATTTTCATTTATTTTCCCCGTCGTTTTACTCACAAAATAATTTCTGAATTTGAATTGACATTTTACAATGTCAAAAATAGTCATTTGTTCAAAAAAAATTAAATGTATTCCAAAGGGAAACATAAATATCTCATAATTTTAATATACATCTTTATATGGGTCAAAATACTTTCTCATGGCGGGGGTTCCTCGGCTCAAGCAGTATCATACGAAAACGATCTGACTTCCGACACGCATATACCAAAAAGGCCCGCTATGAAAGGAACAAATGGTGATCTATATGATATTTTCATGGAACGTTTGAATCAAGTCAAGCAGGAACTAATATATCATGAATTACCTAACAATAACCAAGAAGGAAAACTATCCAGCCGAAAAATAACACCAAGACAGGCAAAAACAACAAATTTGTCACAAAAACGCCCAAATAGAAGTCTCAGTCACATTCCTAAGATAAATAGATGCCGTAATGACAACATATCTCATCGGAATTTATCCCAATCTCTTTATCCTTCGGTTCTAACAAAAGCTCTAGAGATCAGTTTAAATCCAAATAAGACTGGAATTAATAACAAGGGAAATATCTTGGAAAATATTGCGGATAAAATGAATACAAGTGTCATGGATATTGCTTCAATTCTAACGAAACCCATGGACCTGAATGTAACCACTTTAGAAGAGTCCAAGAATTTGAAGGGAATTATCAAAAATTACATTTTTGGAAATGGTAAAAGGGCCAAAACATTTCTTGATCAATTGAAAATACGGATTTCTTAACATTTTAGAAAACTCTGGGAATTTTCAGCAGAATCCATCAATTTTGAGAAATATCCCTGATGATAACAGGGATAGAACAACAACTGAAATAAGAAATGTTCTGGAACGAGTTTTAGACAAATTGGAACAATTGAAAGGGTCTGAAAACCGAAATGAAGGGGAAAATCATGTAAATGGTAAGAGCATAGATGATATTAGATGTGTTCGATAACTTTTTCAGTAAAAGCCAGTAAGGTAAATCAAAAGCCGGGCTGGGCCGACTATATGATACCCTACACCACGATGCATATTTAGTAGAGCTCCCGTAACAAAAGAATTTATTTGAAATAGATCATACCACCCATGGTACAATAAGGGAAAATTAAATGAAATGCCTCTGAAAATTATTATCCAAAATCTCCAATCTTCCAATTTCATGGCTAAACTGGTAATAGCTTTAGAGCTCGAGCCGCAATGTCCGTGTCTTCTAATCATTGGTTTTGAAAATATTTTGTTTTCATTTTTCAAAACTATAAATACATACACAAAATTGGCACACTCAGAAAAAAATTGTAACCGACTGGTAGCTCTACCTTACCTTTTTATTGCACCATGATACCACCTATCAGCATTTGGCTTTAGAGCAGCTATAGTTTGGTTTCAGAGGGAACTAAGTTTGACGAAGACATTTCAATCTTTTATACCAAATAACATTGCTATAGATTGCATGATATCACTTCGAGAAGAATAATATTGAAAAATATATATCGGAGCCGAGTTGTACAAAATGGAATCGTACGTCCCGAAATTCACTCTAGTCGGACTGAAATCAGCCATTATTTACACAATAAACCTGAAATCGGATTAAGGATACATATGGGAGCTATTTCCAAATCTTAGCCGTTCTCGCTATAGTTTGGCAAAGGTATTTTTGAGCTCTATTATATATCTGGTACCAAATATCATTGTTGTCGAATGCATATTACGAATGTGAGGGACTTAAACACCAAATCGGATGAAACATATATAAGGGGCTATAGCTATATCTGAACTGATTTTCACCAAAATGCAGGTCATTTGGACTGATATTAGCTGGAGCACAATTAATCCGAAATCGGTTGAAGATATATATGGGAGCTATATCCAAATCTAAACCAATCTTGACAAATTTGGATACACTTACTTCAGAGCTGTATCTGACATCTGGTACCAAAGATCATTGTTATGAAATGCGTGTGAGGGACTTTAAACTCCAAATCGGAGTATCTAAACCGTTTTTTTTTTATATGGGAGCTATAAATTTGATGTACTTGCTTCTAGACTAAATCCAGTCGGATGTACCTAAATTTAGGAATTTTTAAAAGATATTGGCCTTTTGGTGTACAATTAACCCGAAATCGGTTGAAAATATATATGGAAGCTATATCCAAATCTTGATAAAATTTGGCAGAGGTTTTTCCGAGCTCTATAAGATACCTGGTACTAAATATCATTGTTGTCGAATGCATATTACGAATGTGAGGGATTTAAACACCAAATCGCATAAAACATATATATGGGAGCTATAGCTATATCTGAACCGATTTTCACCAAATTTACACTAAATTGGTGGGATGTACCAAAATTCAGATCATTATAACTTATATTGGCCATTTGGTGCAGAATTAACCCGAAATCGTTTGAAGATATATGGGAGCTATATCTAATTCCGATCCGATTATTATCACCAATTTCAGTAGGGTTCGTCCTTGGGCTCATCTATACACAGCTGGATTTCAATCAGCTGTAAGCAGTCGCTGATAGTTGGCAACGCATTTGATTGCCCAAAAACAAGTCGTACATAAAATCGGCCAGAAAGCACATCTGTTAAAAACCCAATTCTGGTTTGAAATTCGATCGAGAGTCAAGCCACAATAGTGCCAAAACTACTGAGGTTATTGTCAATTGTTTATTGTCGTTGTCAAAAGTAGTCTTCATGGAAGGCCTTATGTAGGCCTTGCCCAAAAATTGGTAAAATTGCTCTCTTTACTCGCTCTCATTCTCTGGACTTTTGAGTTATCGAACATTTTGTAATAACTTGTACAATTTAATGAGTTACCACCTACGCCTTAATGAATTGGAATTTTTTATTCTTATTTCAGGTACACCATGTAATATTTTGGGCACCTGGTTTTCCACTACTTTGGGTTTATGTTTCGAAATCCATTGGGCCAACAACAGCTTCCCTTGGTCATACAACAATAAAAGCAGCAACAAATTATCCATAAAAATCCAAGAATGTATACCACCGAAACGGCACAACGTTATGGATTTGGAGTGGAAAATTGAGGGCACAACCTATACTAATATTGGTGGTCCATTTTATGTGTATACCCAACATGAAAAAGAACATTTAGCCGGCACTTTTCTGGGTATTCGACAAATTGTTTTATGCAGTTTACATAATTTTTCAGTAAGTTTTTAATCAAATAGGTTTTTGTTGGATTTGTGATGATTCCGATATAGTCTATGGATCATGGACTTTTCTCAAGCCCATCAAAGATTGTGTGGCTGCTTCAATGGCTTTTGAGGTTAAGCGTGATGTTTGGCGCAGAGATCGCATGAAAATGAAATGTAAGAAACGTTTGAAGGCCTTGCACTATGGAGAAAATCTTGAAAAGATTAAAGAAACTGGAAATTAAATATTAAAAAATTAGAAAAAAAAAATAAAAATAAAATAATTTAAGATTGTTATTTATTGATATTTATAACCTACACCACATAGGGTAAGGGTATTATTGTCTTTGTGCATTTACATATTTACATATCATGGAGAAGGAAGCGAGATAGACCCATAGTTACTCTTCAGAATCTTCATAGAATCACTTTCTGAGTCGATTTATGCATGTCACTCCGTCTGTCGATGTATTTTGGTGAAATCTTTGTTTTGCCCGAAGACGAACCCTATTGAAATTGATGAGAATCGGTTCAAATTTAGATATAGCTCCCATATATATCTTCAACCGATTTCGAGTTTATTGTGCACTAAATGGCCAATATCATTCCAAATGACCTGAATTTTGACACATCCAACCGAATTCAGTCTAGAAGCAATTTCATAAAGTTTGGTGAAACTCGGTTCGGATATAGCTATAGCTCCCATATATATGTTTCATCCGATTTGGTGTTTAAGTCTCTCACAATCGTAAGATGTATTCCATAAGAATGATATTTGGTAGCAGAAATCTTACAGAGCTCGAAAGTACCTTTGCCAAATTTTAACGAGGTCTGATCAGATTTAAATATAGCTCCCATATATATCTTCAACCGATTTCGAGTTAATTGTGCACTAAATGGCCAATATCAGCCCAAATGACCTGAATTTGACACATCCGACCGAATTCAGTATTTTGGTGAAAATCGGTTCGGATATAGCTATAGCTCCCATGTATATGTTTCCGATTTGGTGTTTAAGTCCCTCACAAGCGTAATATGCAATCCACAAGAATGATATTTGGTACAGAATATCAGATATAGCCCAGAAATATCTCTACCACATTTTATTGAGATCGAAATAGCTCCCATATATATCTTCGACCGATTTCCGGTTAATTGTGCACCAAAAGCCAATATTAGTCCAAATGACCTGAATTTTAATCCGATTTTGGTTTATTGTGCAAAAAATGGCTATTATCAGCCCAAGTTGTGTGAATTTCGGAACATACGTTTCCATTTTGTGGAACTCGGCTCCAATAAATATTTGTTTAATATAATCCTTCTCGAAGCGATATTGTGTACTCTATAGCTTTGTTATGTGGTATAAAAGACAATAATGTCTTCGTCAAGTTTGGTAAAAATCGATTCAGAATTGAATATGCCTGCCATATGTTAATACCCTCTGAAACCAAATTATAACTGCCCTAAAGCCAAAGGTTGATATGTGGTATGATCTACTTCAAATAAATTATTTTTTTACGGAAGCTCTACTAAATATGCATAGTGGTGTAGGGTATCGGTCCCGATCGACTTTTGAATTTCCTTACTGTGTTTGACTTTCAAATTCTTCATATCAACTTTTTTTAAAATAAACTTTAATTCCATATTCTTTGAGTTATGCCACTCATTTTGGGTAGATAACCTTTATATTCAATTATTTTGAATAGTTCATTCCCCATCATATTTTTTGGATGATTTTTCACTTATTCCTCTTCTGGTTGGCCCTCTTTTATAAACATTTCAATATTCACACTGAAAAACGCGCCATCTATTTAATATTCCCTTAACTAAATTAATTTGAGAGATAACAAATCAGTTGTTTGGTACAGCTGTTTACATTCTCACTCTCTTTCCATTTGTTTATCATCAGTCAAACAACAACAAACACGCCACACAGCTGATTTCATTAAATGAAAGAAAATTTTTGATTGCAAACAAATCATCAGCGGAAATATAAAATTGTTTATTAATGATCACAGACGATTAAAAATAACAAACAAACAATGGGCAATCAATTGGTTGGTATAGCACCCTCACAAATTTATCCCGTTGAGCATTATTTTTCGGGACAATTTGGTGATATTGTATTCGATTCCAAGTGAGTATAGATAACAAATACATACAGGAGAAGGATGATGCACCCTATTCCTAGATGAAAATAATCAAAATTTGTTTTTATTTCTCGCTTTAAGTATGGGAAGCACCCGATTTTTCAAAGTGGCCAAGGCAAAATCTGAGGAAGGTCTGATTGTGGTGAAAGTATTTGTTATACATGACCCCACCTTGCCGTTGGAGGACCACAAGGCAAGGGTGGAGTACATTAAGAAATCGCTGACAAATGCTGTAAACTGTTTGCCATTCCAAAGGGTGGAGGTGAGAGTTAGCTCATAACTAATCCCATATCGTATTATTCACATTTTCTCATTTTCAGATCACGGATAAAGCCGCCTACATAATGCGTGAATATGTCAAACATAGTTTGTATGATCGTGTATCCACCCGGCCATTCCTTACTGTGCTGGAGAAAAAATGGATAACCTTTCAGATTTTATGTGCCCTCAACCAGTGTCACAAGCAAAAGATATGCCATGGTGATATTAAATTGGAAAATATTTTGATAACTTCTTGGAATTGGATATTATTATCGGATTTTGCCTCATTCAAGCCCACATATTTGCCAGAAGATAATCCAGCTGATTATACGTATTTCTTTGATACGAGTCGTAGGCGTACATGTTACATAGCTCCCGAAAGATTTGTAAAGACTCTATCGTCCGAAGATATGGATGGTAATGCGGCCATGTTTCCCACGGACTCCATAATACGTTTGGGTCCCCATTATTCGGGAAATACCTTACTGCCAGCTATGGATATATTTTCGGCAGGGTAAGATTTAAATATCTCCATCTAGATCGAATAATTATATTTTCTTACAAAAAATAGTTGTGCCCTATTGGAACTTTGGACAGAGGGCACAGCCCCCTTTGAATTATCCCAACTGCTGGCCTATCGACGTGGTGAACGAGAACTTGTGGAAAAACACCTGCAAGGCATTGAAAATGAACGTTTGCGTAATTTACTTACCTCTATGATCGATATCAATTCCATGTCCCGCAAGAGTGCCGAAGATTATTTGGATCAAGAACGTGGCAAATTGTTTCCAGAATATTTCTATTCATTCCTGCAATCGTATTTGCAAATGTTCTCTTCGGCTCCCATTATGTCACCGGATGATAAAATAATGCGTCTGCATACAGACATAAATCATTGTATTAAAGTTCTGACCTCAGGTCACTGTGCCGATTTGACACCCGAAGAAGATACACATGAAAAATATGACATCGCCAAGGAAATTGTAGAGGAAAATGAGACGGAAAAGAAAGATGCCGAGACATGTGCCAATGTGGCACCAGACCAAGATGGATTGATACTAATTATAACTGTGGTCACATCATGCATTCGGGGTCTGAAACATTCAAATACGAAAATTGCCTCGCTGGAGATATTACAAAAATTGTCGAAATATACCACATCGGAGACAATTTTGGATCGTATTCTACCGTATATAGTAAGTAAAGATTCAAAGTTTATATAGAATAATTTTTTACTCTTCATTCAATTTTTAGATACACTTGGCCCAAAACTCTTCGGCCAAAGTCCAGGTCCAAGCCATTGAGACCTTGACAGCCTGCTTGAGTATGGTCAAGGACATTCCACGCAGTGATGCCAATGTCTTTCCTGAATACATACTGCAATCAATTACCCAGCTCTCGAATTGTGATCAAAGTGCCGTCATTGTAAGAGTGGCCTTTGCTCGCAACATTGCCAAATTGGCGAAAATTGCCATTTATTTTTTGGAAGAAACTCAACGTAATTCACCCAATGACATGCCAACACGACGTTATGAGGCCGAACTAAATGCCCTACATGAAATTATACGCCAAACTGTTTTAAGTCTGCTAACCGATCCAAAGGCCATTGTCAAACAGACTCTGATGGAATCGAATATATGCGATCTCTGTGCTTTCTTTGGAAAGGAAAAGGGTATGACTTCCATTAGCATTTTAATTATTTAATAATACACTTTAATTCCAGCTAACGATGTCATTCTATCGCACATCATGACATTTTTAAATGACGAGGATAAGAATTTGCGTGGCTCGTTTTATGACAACATTGCCGGTGTGGCTGGCTATGTGGGTTGGCAGGTCTCAGATATTCTGGTACCATTGCTACAGCAAGGTTTTACAGATCGTGAGGAATTTGTCATAGCAAAGGCCATAAGGGCTGTAACCATACTTATCGAATTGGGCCACATAAAAAAGCCCACGGTGACGGATATTATCCAGGAGACAGCCTGTTATCTTTGTCATCCAAATTTATGGATTCGCCACGAAATATGTGGCATGATTTCGACCACAGCACGTAATCTCTCCGCCATTGATGTACAATGTAAAATAATGCCGGCCATACAGAAATTTTTGAAAACTCCCATTATTCAAGTTGAGAAGCCGGACATATTATTGGATTGTCTGCTGCAGCCAATACCAAGGCAGGTTTACGATGGCGTTATGCGTTTTGCAGATGTTCACAAGTTTATACATGCCCTCGAGGAAAGGGCCAAGGTGCGCAATGAAACAAGAGCGGGATTGATGCCACAATACGGCGAAATGGGTCAAACATTGAATAGTGTAAGCAATAACTTAAAACAAATTTGTTCGGAGATAATCCAAATTTCTTAAATATTTAGCTTTTCCGCCGTTTGGAATCAGATGGCCTAACCGAACAAGTGGAGAAACAGTTATTGGCCATGAAAAACTTTTTGGCCAAACTCAAATATAAATCCCTGCAGGATGCCGATGAACCATCCATATCGAGCAATGGTCGCATTAATTTGAGACGTAAATTTGTGGTTTGTCATGAATTTCCTTTGGGTGATCGTCATGCTGCCACGAAAATTAATATGGAGCCTCGGGTCAGTGATGGTATTACACCGACCTCACCAAATTCGGATACGGCCGCTTCGCCTGGTGGCGGTATGTCAGGATCACCGGCATCGGGGGTCATTGTGTTGGGTACTCAACCAACCACTGTTAGTACTGCAACCTCTTTGGGAGAGTACACAATGCCGGAAAGGAATTACTGGCAGGGTAATACTTAAGCAGAAGTAAATATTAAAAATATAATTAAATATCTATCTCGTTCTTCATTACAGAACGCTCATCAGAATGCCGCAAAGATTTGGAAAATCTGCGCAGTAAAATGAAAACCCAATACAGTGTTTTGGCTTTGTCTCAACGCAGTCATTTGGATAAATTGAATTCACCCTATCCACACGGTTGGCGTTTGGGTGGTACCATGGTGGCCCACCTACATGAACATTCCGAATCGGTGATTAAATTAACGCCCCTAAAACCCTATGGATCTCTATTTGCCAGTGGCAGTATAGACGGCACGGTACGTCTATGGGATGCCAATAAATTAAGTGGCAATAATGGCATCAACAAATCAAGACAAGTTTATGCAGCCAATACTCCCATTTACTCGTTGGCGGCCTGTGACAATGGTCAATCCTTGGCGGTGGGAGGCAAGGATGGTAGTCTGCTAATTATGAGAATCGATAGGAATTCTTCCAAAATGACACTACAGCAGGCCTTGCATTTGGATCAAAAGTAAGTCTTTTCCTTGGCGGAAAAATTGCAACTTAATTAATATTGTTCTTCTTTTTGGTTCTTCGCAGTGAAAATGATGGTTCAGTTGTGGATATGCATTCCTATGAGCAGTGCTCACCCAGCGTTATTATTTATGCCACCTTATATGGCGGCATTGTGGCCTGGGATACACGCATGCAAAAGTCAGCCTGGCGTTTACAAAATGAACTACGCCATGGTGTCATAACAACAATATGTGCTGATCCAACGGGTTCGTGGTTGGTTACCGGTACCAGTGGTGGCAAACATATTTGTTGGGATTTGAGATTTCGTTTACCAATAGCTGAAATAAAACATCCAGCCGATTCATGGATACGTAAAGTGGCATGTCATCCCACCGAGCCCTCATGTTTGATTTCAGCCTCACAATCGAACAATGAAGTTTCCATATGGAATATTGAGACGGGCCATCGTCATACGGTTTTGTGGGCCAGTTCAGCACCGGTGTTATCCTATACCAGTATGGTAAGTTTAATGGTTCTTGGGAAAATAAAATAATTTAAAAATTCACTTTGTTTGTAGAATGATCCTGCCACAACATGTGGTGTATTAAGTGGCGTTGTTGACAATTCTCCCTTTATTATTACCGGAAGTTCAGATCAACGTTTGCGTTTTTGGGATTTACAACAACCCAAGAATTCCTCAATGATAATACCATCGGCCAAGGATAATCTAAATGCCGTTTCATTTAATTATGAGTAAGTACTGGGGTACAAGTAATTAAAAAGCGCATAACTAATATTTTTGATCATTCTTTTGTAGTTCTCGTCTCATTGAAGGCAGTCAAGTTATTGAGGAGCACATTATTTCACTGGGCAATGTTGCCGATATGAATACACTAAGAGCATCGACTGAGGAAAATCCAAGATCTGGACCCGAAATGCCATCGGCCAGTCATCATGATGCCATAACCGACCTGTTGATGTGCAAAACCGATAAAGATCAAATCTATGTGGCATCGTCTTCGCGTGATGGTGTTATAAAACTATGGAAATAGATGTAGATGTGTGCTTTCATTCGATTTTAAGCTGCAGTAATTATTTATCCTATATTTGTATTTTTTACTGTGATTATTTAGTTTAGGATAATACTCTTCACATACATAATTGGGTACGTACTCATACATGCTTATACGTTTTATGTTATTGAATAAAGTAATCAAATTCTTCTATTAAATTAACAATATTTACTAGCTATTTCTTAGACGAAGTGTGTTAATTCTTCTTATAATTTCATTTTTTTCAAAATTCATTCAGAATCTTTAGACTAATCAGATATAGATTCTGGTTTGGCAAAAGCTTTTCAATATTTCTGAATTACTTGCGAAGGTTTCCTATGTTACTCTTCATTTTTTTTAATTTTTTTCAGTGGTAGGTATTTTTACCCTGATCCCGTCTACTTAAAAAGTATCAAATTTAGAAAACTTTGGTTCGCGTTAGCCGGTATGCCCGGGACTTTCTGGTCAAAATTCTGGGGTCCCGTCCAAGGATCCGTCCTCCAAGAAAAAAATTGTTTCCCGGGATCAGGGTAAAAATAAATACCTGTGGAAAAAATCGAAGAGTTTTTACTAAGCTAGAGTTGTTTCTTTCTTTTCCGTTGGAGGTGGAGTTTGTTCTTAGGCAAATCAGGGCTTGATTCTGGTTTGGCAAAAACTTTTCGATGTTTCTGAATGACTCGCAAGTGTGTTAAAATATTATCATCATATGAATACTTGGGCATATTGTGTTGAATTTTCTATGTTATTGGTTCTGAAAAATAATCTACCTCAAAATAAAACGAGATGGTACCTGATTGAGATGGCTGGCGTTGGTGGAGTTATTATAACTCAACATCAATCCCGAAATTCACTTTAAATTACGAATATGTTGAACTCATTTCTTTCCAAACTTGGAGATGATTCAAACAAATAAACGCACAATTTAATTTTCCTTTCCTATATTTTCAAATGATTTACGTTAGATAAAGCTGCTGAATATCTTACAAATAAATGCGTGTGAGTTGTGCACTTATGTTAAGGGTAATTTAGATTTAAAAACACGTTGACAGTTAATATGCGTAAAAATAAAAGCGAGATGATACCTGATTGAGATAACTGGCGTTGGTGGAGTTGTTATTTTAACATCAATCCCGAAATTCACCTTCACTTTAGATTACGAATATGTTGCAATCATTTTTTCCCAAACTTGGAGACGATTTAAACAAATAAATGCACAATTTAATTTTCTTTTGCTATATTTTCAAATGATTTACGTTAGATAAAGCTGCTGAATATCTTACAAATAAATGCGTATGAGTTGTGCACTTGTGTTAAGGGTAATTTTGACTTAACAACACTTTGACAGTGACTGTACGCCGAAATAAAGACGCTCTCTTTTACTTTGTGTTTATAGCGCAATTAGAGGGAGAGTTGTTTCTTATTCATGGCTCAAACAGAAAGGTAGCTCAACATCAATAAACTAGAAAATATAGTATAATATAGTCCTATAGTGTCAAATATATTTTAAAATATGCAACAATTGGTTTTTGGTCATTTAACATTATTTAACAAAATTTTTATTTTGGGAAAAACCCATGGTAGAATAGAATGGGAAAAACCCATGGTAGAATACCTTCTGTAATTGTATCATGGGCCTACCATGGTAGAATTAAGAAGGTAACCATTTCTTACAATTTTTTTTTCAAAATTATATATATGTGGCAGAATTTAGAATTTGAAAATGTAAATTACAGGAAATGCAGAGTTGGATTATTTGAAAATATTTTACCATCTTAATTCACCCAAAAGGCAATGGCATACTATATAATCTACTTTATTTTTCATAAAATAACAACATTTTTTCTTGATTTGTTTTTTTTTCTTTGAACCGTTGCAGCAGGTTCAAAACCACTGTTTTTTGCAGATTCGTTGTTATAACTCCACTATACTGTATACCATGGTAGAACTAAGAAGGTAAAGTAATGATTTTATATATTTACAATTTTTTCAAATTGTCAAAATCTATATTCACAAATCCATTGTATACAGACAAAATCAGACTTGGGAACTGTTTTTTATGCTTTGAGATTTGACAAGGTAATTACAGAAAATGCAGAGCTGGGAATGCTAATTTGAAATGAGGTTACCTTTATTTCATTGTACCATGCTGTATACATTTGAACAAAAATAAATAAATAAAATTATCAATCCGTATATTTTCCACGCTTGGTCTACTATTATTCTTTATTATTCTATATATGTACTTTATATGCATATGTAGAGGGTTTTTGTCTAAAGACCGTATTACCAAATTTATAGACAATTACTTATAACTGTGACCCTTCCGATTACTTAACAATTTTATATTTGTGCACTAAATATAGCGCGCAATTATTTTCCATATTTGTTGCTACAAAAGTCCATTATTTAATTTGCACTAATTTCAACTCTGTTTTAGTTCATTGTTGTTGGTAGGTGCGGCAACCCTGAGCGCTTCAACTGCAACCAACTTCAGTAATTCAGCGGCGCTTGTCGCTTTGTATTCTTTGAAAGGTAGATCTCGAAAGGTGCCTCAACGGACGGCGCGGCATATTTGAAAATTTGGAAAACAGAAGAGAAAAGAATAGCTAAAGGAGAGAGAAATGTTACATTAGTCTAATATAAATTAGTAAAAATTGGTAAGCCAACCCCGAACGCACTCCGTTCGCCAATAATTGTTTTGTTTTGTCAACAATTTTGCAGATCTTTAAAACAAAACAATGCAGTTGAGATAATATTAAGTGATCAACACACACAACAAAACTTGAAACCAAAAGACTTCTGTCATAAAATTGAAATTATTTCAAAGCCGCCAAAAGAACGAAGAAAAGATAGAAGCCAACAACAAAAAATAATTTTTTGGCGAAAGAAAGAAAAGAAATTGTTTCGGTGCTTAAAGTTCTCCGTTCTCTCCTTGTGAAACGACAAGAGAAAGAAGAAGAAGAAGCAGACGAGGACACCTTTAAAGCAGACTAAACAGTTTGAAAAAATGGCGCCCACAAAGAGTACCCGTGCAGTTTCCAAGCAATCTGTGGCCACAACAACTTTAACAAATCTTATGCCTCTGGCTCGCAAAGGCTTAACGCGACGCAACGGCACTAATGTTCAGGATCAAAATTCCGATATTATGCAAACACGCGGCAAGCGCAAGGCAGAGCATAGTCCTCAAAAGAACGAAAAAATTAAACGGTCAGCCTTGGGAAACCTCACGAACAATGTGAACAACAACAACAACCAATTGACGAGTATACATCAAGATGATGATGCCAAACACAATATTGTCAAGAAGAAGGATTTGGTACAAAATCTGTTTGCGGCTGGAGGGCAACAGGAGAATGCATTGCAAATTATTAAAGAGACTCAAAATATATTGCTGCAGCAGGCCCAGGGAGCACTGCAAAAGCAGCAGCAACAACAACAGCCTGTTAAGATCCTCACAAGAGCCTCCAGCCGAAACGCCAACAAAGATGCACATAAGGAAAATTTGCCACAACAAACGAACATAACCTCAAAAATATTCGAGGACGAGGAAAAGAAACTACTGACATCGGTTAAAGCCGAGCAAAATGAAGAAGTGCCAGCAGCACCGGTGGCATCAATGCAGCCACACCAGGTCCAAAAGATTGCCAACAAGCCAGTACGGCGTATTTCCAATGAATTTAATAAGACTGAAGAATCCTTGTATATGTCGGCATTAGAAGACATTTCCGTATCAGATTCTATGCGTTTGTCGGGCAACTTTGAAGCGGCCAAACGACGTTCAATTCTATTGCAACAGCAACAACAAGAACAAAATAAGACTGAACCTGCCGCAGTGGCCAAAGAGACTTCCGTTCATCAAGTTCCCGAGGGTGTCGAGGACTTTGATAAACTTAATTGGAACGATCCCTTCCAGGTTTCACACTATGCCATGGACATTTTCAATTATCTCAAAGAGCGTGAAGCCCAATTCCCTGTGGATGATTATATGGAACGGCAAATACATTTGTCCAAGTGGATGCGTTCATTGCTAGTCGATTGGATGGTTGAGGTACAAGAAACTTTTGAGCTCAATCACGAAACCTTGTATTTGGCCGTGAAAATTGTTGATCAATTTTTGTGCAAGGAAGTGATAAACAAGGATAAGCTACAGTTGCTGGGAGCTGCCGCACTTTTCATTGCTTGCAAATTTGATGAGCGTACCCCGCCATTGATCGAAGACTTTTTGTACATATGCGATGGTGCCTACAAACACGACGAATTGATACAAATGGAAATGGTCACCCTTAAAGTAATACAATTCGATTTGGGCATTCCATTGTCGTATCGTTTTCTGCGTCGCTATGCTCGTTGTGCCAAAGTACCAATGCCCACCTTGACATTGGCCCGTTACATACTTGAGTTGTCGCTAATGGACTACGATTGTATAACATTTAGTGATTCGAAAATGGCATGTGCCGCCCTCTTTATGGCTCTGCGTTTGCATGGCGATGCCCAGCCATGGACGTCAACTTTAATCCATTATACCGGTTACAAGTTGACCGATTTCGCTGATATTGTACCCATCTTGAATGCTGGCTTGCATCGCAAACCGAAGGGCACAATCAAAACTATACGTAGTAAATATTCGCATAAGATATTCCACGAAGTAGCTAAAGTTGCACTGATGACCACAGAGAAATTATTTGAAAATCAATTAGATTTTAATTTAAGTTTAGCGCCTAACCAAATTACAACAACAACGAATGAACAACAACAGCAACAGAAAAGCACAAAAACAAAATCACAGCAAAGTGTTGGTGTTGGTAATAGCGGCGGCAGTGGTAGTGGCGGCGGTGGAGGTGTTGCCAAACGGGAATAAGTTTTCGACAAAAGAGGAGTATAAATTTGTTTTCCCCCTTTAGCGTATTAAGAAGTTTAGAGATACACCATAGAAGTAAATGCGGAAGGCGCACAGCAAAGCAAATTGCAGAATCGACCGATCAAAGGATTAAAACTAGAACAAATAAAGGTAGGTATGCTTTTCTTTACATTCTCTTAATAATACTTATATTATTTTCAAAGTCACTCAAATTTTATACAATAATTTGGAGAAACTCCTTCTATTCACAAGCCTTAGTGAAGTTATTTAAACAGGCGCTCAGAAACCCAGGGCAGTTTATAAAACTGTAGCCAATACAAAAAACTTCTTAAAACGTTTGGCTGCCTTTCCCATTAATTAAGATATATATTTGGTGGAGATATTTAAATTTTTTTTCATGGAAAACATTAACATTTTTCAATCCTCCAGAAAGTTTGGACGAAATCCCTTACAGAAGAATTGATACAGCTATGTCTGCACTACTTTGAAGGAAAAGACCCGATTTGGTAAAAATCACATACAATACAAACAATGGGAATCAGTCTATCAAACTTAGACCTAGTTCGAAGAGGTCCAAAGCCTGTCAAAATACTGTCCATTTCTCTTAGTAGGTTCAAGACGTTCCTGTGCGTCGCGGTCTGGGTCTTTGTAAGCCATATAGATTCAGGACCTCAGTAGTGGTTTGCCATGACTACTACCTCCGTCCAGGCTTACGGTGAATATGTCTCCCCTGCTGAAATTAGAAAGTTGTATTAGATTTAAATTTCTTCCCGCAATTATACAGTTCTAACTTTATCCCTATTTGTGTGGGCGAAAACCGAGTAGTTCTTGCCGTTCACTCTTGAGACCCTATTATTAAAAATATAGGGTTCCTGGCGATAATCAATATGAGCTTTCAAGATGGTAGGTAGAATTTCTGATCAACGACTCCTACTCTCAGGTCCTCTCCCAACTCCTCCCCCAACTGGCCGATCCTGCTTTGGCTTTGATTCGCAAGATTTCTGCGAAGCGGTAGCACCGGCTGGTTTAAATAAGTGGTCTTCCCACTATCCTTTTTCATGGCATGCGAGATGGTCAGTTGCACCGCTTGCGCAGTTACCTTTTACTTCGCCCCGAGTTGTTGCCCCCCTCAGACCTCATATTCTCCGCCACTGGCTGCGAGGGGGATTTAGACCCCTTTGGGGCTGCTACCTTTGACGAAGTTGTCGTTTCCGCAGACGTTACATTTTTCTGGTCGCTCGTAGTGGCTACCTTCTTGGCAGACTTTGCTCAGTCCCGTTGTTTCTTCACCTTCGACACCTTTGCCATAGGTGGAGATAGCAAAGTCACATCTGGACCTGTTTCGACAATTAGAGACTAGTTTTGGCTCGGCCTTTTCAAGATCTTCTGTTCAGACTGTCGTAGTCTTGCCTTCCTCCGAATAGGAGGAGGTGCTACTCCCTTTGTAATGTTGCGGTTACCCCAGACGACGGTACGTCCTTTTGGCCGCTCGTCGTGACCTTCTTCTGGCAGACTTTGACCTGTTCTTCTGTATCTGACATAGCCAGTTTGGATAATTTCGAGATAGACTTCGACTTGGCAGACTTTGCACTGTCCTTCAGTGTATGGGCTTCTGGTTCTGTTGAGCCCAGAAACAAAAGGGCAGTTTGGAGAATTTCGATGTAGTCTTCGATTTGGCCTTTTTCATCGCAGACGTTTTCAAGATCTGCGGTTATGAAGACTTCGTCGTAACCTTCAGGAGGGCCGTAGCTTACTTGTCTTTTAGAGCCCTCGATAGTTTTCACTGCTGGTGCGTTCTTTTGGCAGCTCGTCGTGACCATCTTCTGGCAGACTTTGACCTGCCCTTCTGTATCTGGGCTCGATAGAGCCAGTTGGGAGAATTTCGTGGTAGACTTCGACTTGGCCTTCTTCATAGCAGATGTTTCCAAGATTTTGGTTCGGAAGACTTCGTCATAACCTTGCCTTCATGCGAATTGGAGAGCCGAATCTTAAGCCATGCAACCTTTTTAATAGACTTCTTAGCCGGAGCTGACTAAATTGTTCGACACTGCTGGTTTGAACGTAGGGATCCTGCTTATTGAAGTTCCCTTTAATGTGCATCGGGTTAGTTCCTCTCGAACTTCTTTACAAATTGCTGGTTCAGAGTTTGGCCCGATCCCCATCAACATATCTGAAAACTAGCACAGAGGTTTGGCTATTTAGGGGCGTCGAAACATCGCCTCGTCAGTGTAAGGATCATTGACACTCGATACCAGACTCCATCCACGACTGGACTCCCCATCTCTACCCGCATCCGATAGCATTCACCTATGCTCCCCAAAGGGAGTATGGAGTCCCAGAACTTTTTAAGTTATTTTTAACAGTATGAGATCTTTATAAAATTTCCACAATTTGATTTTTTTTAAATCGAAAGTGGTTCCGAAAATTAAAAAAAAATTAAATCCGAAAATTAATTTTTTTTTTGCAAATTATTTTCAAAATATTTTTTTGATAATATATTTTTGTTGTTGTTTATCTCTTTTCAGTTTAACTGTGCCCATATCGAGGTCTCTTCAGAAAAAAACAATCCTCCACCTGCCATGATGTTTAGCAGTCAGTATATTTATTTTTGTTTTCTAAACTATATTTAATCTATTCTATTACGACTTAGATTTTACAATTCTATTGTTTATTTTGTTAAACAATTTTTTCTTTATAAACAATCACAACGTTTTCCCTAACGTCTCCTAACTGATGAAAATAATCTATTTCTTCTTTCTATATAAATATATATGTTGTATTCTTTTCAGTGTCTCCTTTAAATGACTGCCATATGTCGTCTTATGTTCTTTGTTTGTTATTCGTATAAATTTTCTAACAAATACTTTTCAAATTGACAACAAAAATAATTTTTTCCTAATTGTAAACAGATATGAATGAAATGAAAGCCACCAAAAACCAATCTCAACCAAGTACAATATATACTATATACTACTACGCTTTTATTAAGTTAATCATTAATTTTTTTAAACATTTGTTGTGGAAGAGTGTTTTTGTCTCTATCTCTCTCTGTTCCATGATTTGATGATACTAAGAAAATTCTAGGAAAAGGAGTTATTGTAACAAACACTGTATTAAGATGATAGCCAAGATTTGTATGTAATCAATTAATGTTTATACTCTTTTTCATGATTGTCATTAATTATTAATTTTTTATTTAATTTATTTTTTGGAGAGAAACAAAAAAAAAAAAAATGAAAAAAAGACACACTCGACTCAAACAACTTGCTGATTAACATTACTTATACATTTTTATTAATTCTATTAGTTTTAAGCAATCAATCATCATTAATCATTAATATTATTATTAGTTTTATTATTTACCTTATTCATATATAAAGCAACAACAAAAACACAAACATATACATTAACCATAAATTAAATATTGAGCCACATAAGAACAACCCCAAAATAATAACATTTTTTTTTAATAAATTTCCACTTCTCTTTTGATGCATTTTACTACACAAATTCTAGTATTACCTGTAGAACATCCCTCCTACCCCTACGATAATTACTACTGCCACATTTGTTTTAAGGCAAATGTCTATTTTTGGCTAGTTGGTACAAGTGATTCAATCATTCTATGGAACTGTGGACTTACTCGCCCTGGACGACGCATGATAAAGTTGTTAAACAATTTTCTTGTTAACTAATTTTTGTCATTTCTTTTTTTCTTGTTTAGCTACTTTTTTCAATAAGTTTTCTTTGCTATTAATTGCCTTACAGGAGAGAAAAATACTATTTATATTTCTTCTCTTTCACCCCCTACAATAAATGTTTGTTTTTTAGCCCTTAAGTTTTTTTTCTTTTGTCATTATTATTTAAATTTAGTTTTATGTTTTCTTCTTTTTTTTTCATTGTTTGCATTTTATGTGTCAATTTTTTGTTATGTATTTTTTTCGCCACAGTTGATTTATAAAAAAAAGAAACAAACAACAAACCAATTTTGTAAATGTAGTTAAGTTATTTCTTTACTTTTTGGTTAATAAATACGTTTTTTTATTTATGAATTTATAATTTGTTGTTTTTTTCTTTTTTTATACATTTTTTGTTTTTTTTTTTTTTTTATTTGAAGTATTTGTTAACCAATTTCTAAGAAAATAACTTAACTACCAGGACAAAAACCTGTAGTCGATGTTATTTCATTTGAGTAGTACAGGTCACTGGAAGACGAGTCTTGAACAGAACCACAAAAAAAGAAAAGAAGCAGTATAGCGCACAGAGCGGCGAAGATTCAATTCGATCGAAATGTTTTCGAATGAGAGAATTTGCCGTCAATGGAAGTTAGCAAAATTCAAATTTACACTACACGCCGACATCGTCGTCACATTTGGGATGACATCACTTGTTGGAATTTTTAATTTTTATTTATTTTATAAAAAAACACTAAACAAATACAAGTCGACATCAAAAGCTCTAACGACAAAATCAGGGCCAATACAAGGCTACATCGTCGTCACATTTTCTTACATTGATTGATCGAAAATCAAATGATTAAATAAAGTTTCTGAAATAAATATTTTGGTACTTCCATCATATTTTATTTAACGTCGAGCATAGGCTCTATCACCCTTGGGACGAGATGTATCGGCTAACTCCTCAATGATTATATCTCTCATAACGTAAGAAACAAGTTAGATATTATTTTCGAACCTGGGGTATCTAAATATATTTATCTTTAATGTTTTTTTCATTTTGAAGTTTACCGAGCAGGATATTAGTAAAAACATTGGACAATGGGCTCACATCCAATTTTTTTTTTGTCCAAAACTATTTCAATTTTTAATTTCAACTCTATCCCTTCACCCAATACCATATTTCGAACGAATATCCAAAAAATATATATACATCCCTTCATCCTAGACACCAACAGTTATCCAAAAGTACGCATTTGCAAAACCACCACATGTTCTCAACACCAGATACCAACAGAGAATTCAATATCAAGTTAGAGGATTTCATTCCTATCCCGTCATCCAATACTAAACTTAGTACCATATAGTACCTTTTGTACAAATACAGGACGTATTTTCACAACAACCTCCATATCTTAATCACAGATTTTAACAGTGATATCCATTAAATTTCAGGATTTCTGCTCTATTCCTTCAACCAATACCAAATTTAGTACTTTTTGTACAAATGTAGTTCCATTTCCAAGACCAACTCCATATTTCAAATTCAGATATCAAAAGTTTTACGATTCCAATTACCCAATTCCATTTAGTACTTTTCGTACAAATATAAAATTTCATATTTCCAAAACCACCTCCATATCTAAATTCCAATTACTAACAATATGAGGATTCCAGCTATATCCCTTCACCAAATACCAAATTCAGTACCATTAGTACTTTTCGTACAATTATAGTACACATTACCGAAAACACCTCCATATAACAAGTCTACGCATGAACAGCGAAATTTCAGATTTCAAGCATTATCTGTTAACTTAATTCCAAATTGTACCAAATAGAGTACTATTAGAACTTTTCGTGCACTTGTAGCACACATTTCCAAATCCACCTCTTTATCGAAAAGACCACTAACAGGGACCCCAGTTCTTAGACTTAGCAAATACTTCCAAAATCAACACCTGACATCAAACCATTAATTAATTTTTGTACCATTTTTCAATTTTTTTATCAGTATTCGTTCACATAATTTTAAATGGTACCAAAGTATGTGCATTTTAGTACTCTTGGTACACGTATTAGCATTTTTAGTACACGTGTTTTCGTTTGTCTATCCTACACAACATCAAAGACTCGCACACCAAATATCAGCTTTCCAGATCTATTAGTTCCTCAAATACTTAAGTTATTACTATTTAGTACTTTTCGTACTTTTTTGAACGTTTTTCCAAATCCACCGCCATGTATTAACAAAACCGCCAATAAAAGGTGACCCTAATGTCAAATTTTAGACTTACAACTAAATCCCTTACTTAAATATAAAAAATAGTACCATTTAGTACTTTTTGGTACGTATTTCAAAAATCCTCTCCAAATCTCAACCCTACACACTAACAGCGATCCTTATGCCAAATTTCGAGCAGTATCCCTTCACGCAATACCAAAATCAGTACCATTCAGTAAATTTCGTACACATAAGTACAAATTTCGAGAACTCGCACCATATCCCAATCCTACATTCCAACATTTATCTTAATTCCAAATTTCAGAATTCCAGTTCTATTGGTACATCAAAAATCTAAATGGTACCAAATTTAGTACCATTTAGTACTTTTCGTGTACATAAGTACAAATTTCGAAAACTACCTCCATATCTCAATCCTAGTCTCCGCCAGGATTCCAGCTTCGTCCATTCCTCGAAATTCATATTGTACCAAACATAGTACCGTTTAGTCCCTTTTCGTTCAAATGATACGAAATGATACCAAACATAGTATATTTTAGTACTTTTCATTTTCTTATTTATTCTTATGTGAAAAAGATATTATTTTTTTGGTTTTTTTTCATTTTCTTTTTAATTTTTATTTATTTATTTCTTACAAAAATATCACTTTTTTATTTTTATATAAACAATTTGAAAAAAAAAAATTAATTAATACAAATTTTTTACTTCAATAACCTTGATTGCTGCGATAATTATATGGCGGTGGACTTTGATAACCATAATTTCCCCCATTGTTTGTATTATAACCCTGAGGATTTTGGCGATAATACGGACCCTGTGAATATCCTTGATTGCTATAACCTTGATTATAACCTGATCCATAACTGGGAGCTCCTCCTTGATATTGATTATTGGAATAATAACCATTTGCTGGACCCTGATTATAGGAGGGTCTATTCACGGGCTGGCGATAAGGATATTGTTGGCCACCATTTGAATATTTATGGGGTCGATTGTAAACGGTTTCCTCAATGTAGGGTCCTTGGTTGGTGTATGTTTGCCCATGCGGGTGATGGTGGTCATATGGCTCATTGGGATCGTGCACAATATCATGGAGTATATTCGCCAACACATCGAAAGTGGGACGGGCCCATGAATATTGTACCCATGCGGTCATCAAGAGGACTAAAAGTGGTAAAGTTTTCATTTTTAATTTTTCCGATATTGTCCTATTTTTAATTTTTATAATCCGTTCTTTGCTGATTTCTTCTTGCAACTGCTTCGGAAATTCAAATTCGACTAAATTAAAGACAAAAGATTCAAAGCGCCGTCTTTAGGGAGATAAGAAGCAAAGTATATCATTTGTGTTTTGTTGTTATTGCGTTTTTCTTTGGAAGCTTCGCATGTTGTTTTTTTATGCCATTAAAAGGTTAAATGGAATATGTTCTGAAAAAAAAACAAATGCTCCATATTTTTATTGTTCTTATTTCAATTTATATGAAAATAAGTATGTCAATGTTGCACAGTGGTTTTGAAAGTTGACAAAGGCTTGGCATCACACACAATTGGGATACGTGACCATTGACAAGTTCTTAGCTAGTTTTTAGAACTCAGTAGGGAATTTTTTCGTATAACAAACCTGGTATTGTCCCTATTTGTTGCTTT